TCTTATCTTATATATTAAAAGCACAAAGGCCCTTAACAAAATATAATTTGCTTTTTCTGTCCTTTAAAAATAGAGTTCACAGTAGACAAAACAATCATTTATATTAATTTCCTAATATTTAGGAATCATCATTGAATTCCCTAATATTTAGGAATAGCCATTTAATTATCTCCTAAATACTTAAGACTTTAATTTTAACTAAAATTTGGTTAATATTTTTTCCTTATTTGAAACAAGTAAAAGTTTTTGTATTTAGAAATTCAAAGTCAACATATCTCTACTTACAAATATTGTAGTCAATATTTGTAATTTGAAATTGAATAGGCACGATTAAAGAAATGCACTTTCAATTTCTATTTTAATATTCAGAGTTTATTATTAAATTAAGACCAAAAGTTGATTGTTAACCTTATTAATTTCTAATTCAAACAAGTTAACAAAACTATTAATTTTTTTGACATTGGATGTCTTATCAGTAAACAAGACTTTTTTTTTCTTCAGAATTTAAGTTTTCTCCTAATATTTAGAAGTATTATATCAACTAAAGTTTTTGCATTAAATTCTTTGTTAAATATTAATGCAATTTTTTTATTTTTTGAATTATGTAACATAATAATTTATAAAAAAAAATAATACCAAAAATAAAATATTCCACAGAGTATAAGTAAAAAGTAGTTATTACTTGTTATATGTTTGAATTACTCTTTGGCAGAGAAATATAACCAATTAATTCTAATTTAGTAAAAATAAAATACAAAATTTAGAGAAAGACAAAATAAAAATTATACCTAAAGTCAATAAAGTTGATCAGCAATTCTCCAATCTTTCTTATTCTCAATTCTAGATTTATAATCGATCATAGAAATTAAACTCATAAATTTATGTAATTTAGTTATCTTAGTAAAAAGAAGAAATAGAAAAACACTTTACATGAAAAATTATGATTGTTTCTCAACAAAAAATATGATTGATCTTTGAAGATACAATAGAATATCCATTATCCTTTAATCATATGCACCTTCTATAAAATTAATGTACCAAAATATAAATATATATTCTAATAAATAGTACTATGTTTCGATATAAATAACCTAAATTTTACAATAATGATATTTTTTAACTCAACATCAAATTCAATAAATACTTTCACAATAACAAATAGCAGTTGCATGCCAAATATATACTATGGATAGATGCACGAAGCGTGTATTCTAAAAATATGAAAAAGTGTTCTTTCCTTGAGGTAGAAAGTCCTATTTTGTAGGACTTTAAAATCTATTAAAAGCAATTAGAAATGGTTACTTACTAAGTAGAAAGTCTTCTTTCAATCAATATTTATCATTTTCAGGAAGTTATATTTTTATTTTATAGTTCAAAATATTATTAAAAATATTAGTATATTTTTTTAATATTATATACTCATTAATATAGGTACACGCGCAAAGCGCGTACCTTAAGACTAGTATATTAAAAGCACAAAGGCCCTTAGCGAAATGTCGTTCGCCTTTTTTATCCTTTGAAAATAGAGTCTACACTAGACAAAATAGTTATTTAATCTCAACAATTCTCAAAGGCATCAGGCCTAGAGGCAAATGCTGATAAAAGTTCCATATTATTTGGTGGAGTGCATGATGAACAACAACAGAGGATATTACAAGACTTGGGGTTTGTCAAGGGAAATCTACCAGTTAGGTACTTGGGGGTACCTCTAAGCTCTAAGAGGTTATCATTAATACAGTGCCAGCCTCTACTTGAGAAGATGCTAGGGAGAATCCAATCCTGGACAACAAAATTCCTTTCTTATGCAGGGAGAATTCAACTAATCAAGAGTGTGCTATTCTTTATTCAAGTATACTGGTCTCAGGTGTTTGTGTTACCAAAGAAACTTATTCAACTTATTGAAAGAGTATGCAGAACATTCCTTTGGACTGGAGGGGGGGGGGGGGGGGGGGGGTAGAAGTATCAAGGAAAGCATTATTGTCGTGGGACAACTTGTGCAAACCTAAAGCAGTCGGTGGATTTAATGTGACGACCCAAAGGGTCATCACCTGTTTTCTTATCTATTCTGTGCTTCCGAGGCCTTGAAAATCTATTTTAGAGTCGCCTCAATTTGCGTGCGCAGTCCGAGCACGTAGCCGGGAAGCTTAAATATGAAATTTTGTAAAAAATCCTAAGTTTTGATGTTAAAATGAATAAGTTTGACTTTGGTCAACATTTTGGGTAAACAGATCCGGACCTGTGATTTGACGGTCCCGGAAGATCCGTAGGAAAATATGGGACGTGGGCGTATGTCCGGAATCGAATTCCGAGGTCCCAAACCCGAGAAATAAATTTTTAAGTAAACATTATTTTCTGAAAATGTTTAAGGAAATTGGAAAAGAAATCTGATTAGAAAGCGATGGTATCAGGCCCGTATTTTGGTTCCGGCGCCCGGTACAGGTCTTATATATGTTTTAAGTTCTTCCTGTAAAATTTGGTTGAAATCGGACATCATTTGACGTATTTCAGACTTAAATTTCTAAATTGGAAACTTGATGAAGTTTGAGGAAAAATTCTTGATTTTGAGGTTTGATTAATTGATTTTGAGGTTATTTAGGCGATTTGATCACACGGATAAGTTCGTATGATGTTGTTGAGTTAGTGCCTGTATTTGGTTAGGAGCCCCGAGGACTCGGGAGTCTTTCGGAATGGTTTTTGGCTTTAGAAGTGTTGCAGATTTTCTGCTATTGTGCCCAGGGATTTTGTTCTTCGCGTTCAAGTGGTCTCACTCGCGAACGCGTAAGGCAAAGATCCCAGGTGCCCAGTTTCTTCTTCGCGAACGCGGAGGTTGAGACGCGAACGCAAAGCTCAGGGGGGAGACCCTTCGCGAATGCGTCCTTCCACTCGCGAACGCGTAGGGTTCAGGGGAGGGGCCACCAGTTTGTTCTACGCGAACGTGGACACTAGCCCGCGAACGCGAGGGCTCGAGGTGCTAAAGCATCGCGAACGCGAGCCCAGTGTCGCGAAAGCGAAGGTCTTCAGACCTGACTCATCGCGAACGCATTGAGCTTATCGCGAACATGAAGAAGGATTTTTCTCAGTTATTTTAAAGTCCCAAAACAGAACCCATTACGGGATTTCACCAAAATTTCACAAACTCTTTCTTCTCCAAAGTTCTAGGGCGACTTTTGAAGCATCCTTTCACCATAAACTCTTGGGTTAGTAATCTTTAACTTATTCCTTCAATTTTCATCAACATATATTGAATTTCTAGGCCTAAAACATGTAATTAAGGGTAGAAATTAGGGAATTGGGTAGAGTTAGGGCTTTTTAATTAATTGTGATTTAGACCTCGTTTTGGGGTCAAATTCTAAAAATAATTATATATTCGGGCTCGTGGATGAATGAGTGATTTGATTTTGGTCCGAACCTCGTGTTTTGACCAAGCGGGTCCGGGGTCGATTTTTGGGTTTTTGGAAAGAATGATGGAAAAGCTATAATTAGGCAATGGATTCGAATTGTTTAGCATTTATTGATGTTATGAAGTCATTCATGTATAGATACAATCGATTTAGAGCCGAATTCGAGAGGAAAAACGGTAATTGAGGATTGACTTGGCTGTGGAAGTTTGAGGTAAATGTTTGGTCTAACCTTAGCTTGAGGGATTAAGAGTTGTGTCTTATTTACTATGTGATAATTATTGAGTACGACGTATAGGCATGGTGACGAGTATCTATACGTTGGTGTCTAGCATGACCGTGAGTCTTTACATTGTGAATATCCTGATTTTGTTGTGTTTTTCATGCCTTAGTGATGATTTCTATATGTTGTGAAAAGCTTGTGAAAGAAATTGTGACCTTTGAACTTCGAGGAGCATTGACTCGAGTTATATTACCAAGTGTGAAAGTATATGAAATGATTGAACCCTTTGAAGCGTTGGCTCAAGTGGTAAAGTGAGTTAAGATGTAAAAGTGAAAGAAAGAGAAATAGTTATTAAATTGCTCCCTTGCCGGGATGTTTGTTGCTTGGTTGATTATCTCCCTTGCCGGGATGATGAGATTATTAATATTGTTCCCTTGCCGGGATTTAACTGTTTAATTGTGTTCCCTTGCGGGGATTTCTATTATTATTTGTTTACTCCCTTGCCTCTTTGTTTGTGATTGTTGTCTGGGTGAGGAAGAGTGTTAAAGCACGAAGGGTGATGCCGTGCATTGTTTGCTATGGTGAGGAAAGAGTGTAAAGCACAAAGGGTGATGTCGTGCCGTATGATGTACCATTCCGTACTGATTATCATTGATTATATGGTGAGGAAAGAGAGTAAAAGAACGAAGGGTGATGCCGTGCATTGTTTGCTATTGTAAGGAAAGAGTANCTGTGACACTGTGACACCAGGTTTTGGGTATTGAGGTTTTGAAAGTTGTAATAGACGTAGTCTTAAGTTATAAAAATTGTTGATTTCCGCTTATTTATTTAATTCCGCTATTTTTCATGTTATCGCTGGTAATTTTAAAAAATAATAATTTGTTAATGAAAACGGTAGTTAAGTGTTGGCTTGCCTAGCTCTCATCAGAGCTCTAGGTTACATAGGTCTCTCAGTTCACAGACAAGCTTAGTAAAGTCTGAGGGTCGGTACGGAGACGTCTGTATTTATCCCCAGAGGCTACAGAGTTAGGAAAGATTTCACATTTATTCTTTCTTGTCATGCAGATTTTTTTCTCAATGCTAATTGGATTTCTACTCTATCCTTTCGCAGATGGCGTGAACACACGCTTCCTCATCTACCGCTCAGCAGCCCGAGCCCCCAGCAGTAGCTTTCACTAGGGGCAAAGGGCGAGGCCGAGGCCGTGCTAGAGGCTGAGGTAGAGGCAGAGCTCAGCCCCGAGCAGCAGCACCAGTGGCGGAGCCTCAGGTTGATTTTGAGGAGGAGGTCCTAGCCCCAGCAGTTCTGGTGGGCCCAGCTCAGGTCCCGGAAGGGTTCATTGCCACCCTAGTTCTTTATGACGCTCTGGTCTGATTGGTAGGCCTCATGGAGAGTGTCACCCGAGCAGGTTTGCTTTAGCACCAGTCACTTCTCAGGCTGGAGGAGGGCTCAGACACTTGTTACTCGCACTCCGGAGCAGGTGGCTCCCCAGATTCAAATTACAGCGGTTCCGCCAGCTGGAGCAGTTCAGCCAGGTGTAGTAGCTCAGACCGGCGATGGAGCGACTATGTCCGCCGATGCTTTGTGGAGGTTGGATAGGTTCACCAAGCTCTTCACTTCTACATTCAGTAGAGCATCTATTGAGGATCCCTAGGATTATCTGGATAGTTGTCACGAGGTTCTTTAGAACATAGGGATCGTTGAGACTAATGGAGTTGATTTTGCTACCTTTCGTCTATCTGGATCCGCCAAGACTTGGTGGAGAGATTATTGCTTAGCCAGGCCAGCCGGATTGCCATCTTTGACATGGGAGCAGTTTACAGTGTTGTTTCTGGAGAAGTTTCTCCCCGTTACTTA